GTGTCTTTTAAAACATCTGCACTATATTTCAGAACCACAAGGAGTAAATACAGGAAGATTTTGAGGTCTAGGCTCCTATAGACAGGCAAGTCCCCATTCATTGTAGAACCCCACATCATAAAATAGCTAAAGAGATACTTAAAAGTAATTTGTAAGTCTAATATGAAGATAACTATAAAAATTTACTGAGGGCCATAAAATGACTTAAATAAATAGAGAGACATAATTCTCAAATTATTTTCTGTTTGAAACACAACACTATTTTCAATTCATTTAGAGTTATAAATATATGAGCACTATAAATAGCAAGAGGCCTTTAAAAATGATGATAAAATGTAGAAAACTGATCTATCAGAGATGTTTACCTTTATATCTATATTACATTTTTTGAGACTTATTTATTTTAATTTTATGTTTATGGGTGTCTTGCTGTCATGTATGTTTGTCTGTGCACTACATGTTTGCAGTGCCTATAAAAGCTAGGAGAGGGCATTAAATCCCCTGGAGTTGGAGTTACAGGCGGTTCTGAGCCACCACGTGGGATCTAGGGATCAAACCTATGTCCTCTGGAAGAGTAGTCAGCGCTCTTAACCACTGAGCAGTCTCTCCAGCCCTGAGCTATTAGATATTAAGATAAACTATGAAGGTGAAATAGTTTAAAGAGTGAAGATCGAAAGCTAAGTGAACAAGAATCCCAGAACATACACATAATACATGAATACATAGGTGGATTCAAAAACATGGGTCAGTAGAACAAGCGGCTTACCACTTGGGAAGGAAATCAAATCCCTATTACACCTCACAAATAAAACCAAGCAAGTACTACAGTAAAGCAATATTATCCTTAAAGAAACATGTGGGTCTTATTAAAAGAGAATAAACTTACTCAAATCTTGAAAATGTCTACACTAACCACATTACTTGAAACAGGCAAACAAAATATAACACATTTAAAAAAGAAAAGGGGGCTGGAAAGAAGATTCCGTGGCTAAAAGACTTGCTGAACAAGCATGGGGATGAGAGTTCAGATCCCATTACTCCTATAAACGACAACCGGGTGATGACCCGCTTGTAATCGGGAGGTAGAGAAAGAGATCCCTGAGGATACTGGCTAGCTAGACCAGATAAATCAATGAGTTACAGGTTCATCAAGGACCCTGCCTCAATATATAGGGTGGAAAGCAACTAAAGAAGGTACCTATGTCAACCTCTGGCCATCACATTTATGAACATCATATAAATGCATGGGAAAACACACACACACACACACACACACACACATATGCACTCTCACAAACACACACATAAAATGAAATAAAACAAATTGAAGAGTATTTATAAAATATATGATAAATGACAGCCTAATTTTCTTGATAAAGAACAATGAAAACCAAATGTAGCAAGATGAGGCTTTGAATGAGAAGAAAGGACAAAGAGCCAACAGGCAGTTTGGCAAAGAAGAGAGGCGATAAACAACAGCAGGCCATTAGGACGCTTTTGTTCAGTAGGAGAGGAGCATGGAGGAAAAGGGAACTTGATGATGAGATCAGTGTGTTTCATAGGCTGATACTGCGAGGGTACTCCCGTGTTGGCTGCAGCACGAGGGGGATATGACTTTTACAGAAGACGATTAGGACAGCTCCCCGTAAGCTTGAAATATTAGCCCCGAAATTTTGTTGTAGGCAGTTATATAAGAAAAAAAAATCTATATACCTAGCTATAAGGTAGGTATATTGCCTCAAAAATATTTTATTGAAAACTGCAAACAATCATAAGGCTTGGTAGAATAAGTTAAGGTAAAGCTATGTGCCTTAGTATTGAAAGCTGTAAAAAGCATTTGTTATAAACTGTTGAGTAAGAAAAGAGAGTTGTTTGTTGTTTTTCTAATTAAATATCTAAATGCATATTCAGTTGTTTGTATGTGAGTGTAAATATAAATGAATATGTTTTGTTAAACGGACACAGTAGAATATTGATAATAATTATAGATACAAAGTAATGATATGAGGTAGTTCTAATTTTGTTTCTGTCTGTGAATGCATATTTTCTAAAATTTCTACAGCAATTAAAAATAATGTCTTTCCATAGAAGTAAGTAAAAAAGAAAATTGAATACATGTATGTAAAAACATACATGCTATAGTCAAAGTGGCATAGATCCTGTTTTCCAAGCCAAGTCTTAAGTGAAAACTGAACTCATAGAACCTACAAAAGAGGTGAGGTGGGCACGGAAGAAACGCAGGCCAGTTTCTGGAGTAATGTCTCTGAGGCCCCACCTGGTAATGCCCGGGCTCAGAGAGTCTTTCTGGGAAAAGGTGGCACATGAGTATCATGTCCATGTCCTGCATGCTGCACTGTTAGTGTGCCAGACAAGCAAGCCACCGCGGCTGCTGGTCTCGAGCATTCCTTAGCTCATTCCATTTTACACTGAGCCACCGCGGCTGCTGGTCTTGAGCATTCCTTAGCTCATTCCATTTTACGCTCCACTGTATTTGATGCTCAGTATTCATTTGGTAAGCATTTTTAAAAGGTCTCTAGGTTCTATCTTTGCACCATACTAGCTTATTTGTGGTGAAGGATGGTGTGGTTATTATCAGAACCTCAGATTTCACTGGAGACGAGTATGAGAAAGGATCATATGAAGGAAAGACCATCCCAAAATTATTACTAAAGACATTTCCATTCTGGTGTTCAAACTACCCATATGATGATCCAACTGATAAAATCTCCTAAAATTTTAGTAGCCCCCCTCTTATATTTTTGGCCATTTTATAAATAAATGTGACTTCTTTTAAAAAGGATGTTTTAGTCCTGGATTAGTCAACATGTTCTCTTTTGACTTTGGCTTCCTGAGAGCTCAGAGCCAAGCTTATTGCCAAATTATAGCAACACACAGCTGCCTAATTTTGCAGAAAAAGTCTATCCCAGAACATGAATGTTTATCCTAAACTAAGAGGTCCCATGATATGCATATCTTGTATTATGAGTTGTCACAAATCCAGTTTGGAAATAGAAAAGTATTAAATAACAAATAAACATGTAAGTGATTTCGAATGATCAGGCTTGGTCTTTGGCAATAGGAAATACTCACACCTAGCTTGGTTTGAATCAAATGCCTTAGGCACGTTGCCTAAATTTGGAATACTGCTCAGAAAAGTCTGCTGCTAGGTGCAGCCATGAACACTGGGGGTCTTTCTGCTACCGAGGCCCATACCTACTACTGGCCATTTTGTGAGGCTGGCTCCTTGGTCCTGAGCTATCCAGTTTAAAAAGGCTGTTGAAAGAGCAAGGTAAGAAATGCCACCATGTAGAGTTTTCTGTGGCCTGTGACCTTGGAAATAGTTTCTAGAACAAGGTCTAGTTGAAATGGATCCTGAAATCAAAACTCTTCATTCTTAGAAGTGTGCCATTTTTAGGTATGTTTGTATTACAATACACTTCTCAATCTTTCTGCTTGTTTTTACTGTTAGCGTTATGCAGATAATGTCACAAGTACAGAACCAGGCACAGAATATGAAGAAAGGGGAAACAATGCTTTGAATCGTTGATATAAGGGGTTGCCTGTACTATTTTATTTAAAGGACAGTATCCAACTTATCCCTCCAAAATGTGCATCTCTTCAAACTCTTAGTAACATGGGAACACATCAACGTAACAGTCTTTGCATTGTCATAACTTGGATAAACTGCCTGAAGAGGTGGAATATGGTGGTACGGTCTTGATTAGAGTATCTTGAGAACTTTCAAGGCAGCTTTCTAGCTAGAAGCCTTGAGGAAATGCAGGGCCCATGAGGCTCTGCAGTGTTGCAGGCAGTTTATACTAAGATGACGTGCACGACAGTAACAGCGCAGACATGACCAACCCAACAGCAAATGGACAAGGCAGGCTCCTGGGGCCCAATGGCTATCTTCTCTTGAAGGTTGGTGTGGTCTCCCACAGTAGAGGTTCATTTGCTGTCAGCCTGCCTAACAGTTTGGATTTGGATTTTCTAGTTTTAAACCTCAGTATCACTGAGGTTTACTGTTTACAGTTCACTGCTCACACACAGTGAACGAGAACACCTCTTATTTTGAGTCTTTCTCTAGATAAATGAGATCATCTGAGTGAGACAGGGTAAACTGGTTCATGGAATGTTCCTCAATGAGTGTTGATTTTAATTGTTGTTTAGAATATTCATCTATTAGGCTGCAAACACTCCAAGGAGACAGGCCTTACTGTGTATGAGTAATGGCATTGTAGAGAGTCTCACCACTTGCTTGTCAGTTCAAATGTGGTGGGTAGGTATGGACCCAGGACTGAACCCTGAGAGAATCAGGAAGTCAGCCCTGGTGACAGACACTTGCACACAGAAAACACACAATTGCTGCAGCCATCCCAGTGCAAGCCCTGTGGTAATAGACCAAACAGATGTTTGGTTGAGGAATCTACAGCAAAGGATCCAAAGTGCATGGGATCATAAACCAGCTTTCCCTGGATCAGAAGACTCCGTAGACCTTCTGGACACTAGACTGTAGAGCCACTCACTCACTGGCTTTGCACTGGCTATCCAAGCAGCCATGCAAAGATTATGAACACTGATGTGTGTGAGAGGCTGTCCACAGTGGAGCCTGCTGCTGGCATCCAGAAGCCACTCCTTCCACCCCAGTGAGGCTGGGTGTATAAATTCCTTTACACACAGTGCATAGAGCCTTTTTTTTTTTTTTTGTAAAGCCATCCATCATAACTATAAGCCAGGCCTTTCAACATCCTCTCCTGTCCAAAATGGAGAAAAGAACATTTTGAAGTCATTCAGTTAAACTATTTTACACAAAGTAGATGAATTATTTTTTTAATCATTCCTCCCAGGGAGCCCCACAGTGGCTGATTCTGACAGAATCTGTTCAGTTCACCGTTTAAGAGAGACTTCATCTCCTCTCCCACTGAGCTGGGCAGAGTACACACCAAGACACACACAACAACCACACTCACAGGTCTGGCTCTTCTGCAGCACGGAATACTGACCTGTTAAGCCGGCAGCCTCTGCAGACAGGAAGGCACTCCAGGAAAGAAGGAAAAACAGGCCTGTTTCCAGCATCGGGAACTCATGGAGCTTGGTAAATTTGGTCAAGTGACAAGATGTGTTAAGGAAAACAACAACTGTTTTTTGCAACTAACTCTCTTTGTTGGCTAAGAGGAATGGATTTGGTGATGACAGTCTCAGAATAAAAGGCCATTTCTTCATATCTGAGTAGGTAAAGCACACAGGCCCCAAGGAGAGGAGCATATGTTCCATGCCTCACTGAAGGCTAAACACATCCATAAAAATTCAGATTTAAAAAAAAAGTGTCTACTGAGAGGCTGAGGGCATAAAATACCCTGAATGTCATTTAGCCCTTACAGTCCCACCTCAGAAACACTGACAGATAGAGAAAGGCCAAGCAAAGGAGTGTGCCTTGGGTTCAGAGGAGTCCCTTAGAGGAGGCGATGGTACTGATCCTTAGGATGTACCCTGAAGCAGGTCTCTCCATGCAACCCTCTCCCCTAGGGGTAGAAACAGGGCAAGGAAAGCAGTTGTTCACAGTAAGAAAGAACTGCTCATGCCCTTGGTATAAGTAGATGGAGGAGGATTGGTTTTGTTTTTAAGTCAAACAAAACAATTTTTGGCAAGCAACGGTTCATTTTGACAAAGGTGATACAGATGTAGACAATAATCAGTAAACTATAAATCAGAAGAAAAATAAAGGATGGTGACCCTAGCTGGGCAGAGAATGGATTATGAGAAGATGGTTAGGAGTCTGTGATGATGGGAAAGCGTTACATTGCTGCCATGTTTGTTGGGCACGAAGCGTCCTGAAGTATCATAAGATGTGATTGACTTGCAATCTAATGCTTTTAGAAGGAAATATGAAACCCCATCTACATCAAAAGATGGATAGTGCATGTTATGGAGGGGAAAGCATGACCTTTGACCTCTTGGGTCAAAGGTTAGGTTACTTAGGTTCAGTCCTTGGCTTGTCTAGTCACTGGGTGTGTGTCTTCTAAGCAGTGTTAGCACGATCCTCACATCCATCCCCTGTGACTTGGCAACAAAAATAGTGTGTCTCCCCTCAAGTTTGGAGAGTGAAATGAGATAAGCGTGTGAAAAAGTGATTTAATGTGTTTTAGAAAGCCAGAATACCAGGAGTCAGAATGGCAGACTTCCAAATTCACTATCTGCTTAGTCATATATCTAGACCATCTAACCTCTGATTCTCTGAGGAAAACTGGATGATGGCATTATCTGTCTGCTCGCGGCCAATGTATGTGTATAGAAAGATGTACTCAGAACAGCATTAGCATGCAGCGGGGACTGTGGAGGATTTTCTGTTAGTGGTTTAGGTTATTCTAGTCAAACACCCTTCCTGGAAATACAGCTTTAAAGATCTAGGTGTGACTTTTTATGTAGAGGAAAACGTGGACTTACCTGAGGACCTCACCGACAACCTCCTTTGTTGCTTCATCGGGTGTGCTCTCCTAACTCCTGCTAGTTTGGTTTTAAGGGAAAGCTTACACTTGTCTGCTTATCAAAGTGGTATATCTACTGGGATGAAGAGAACCCTTTGACCTTCTCTGGGAAGTCATTAGTTCTGAGCTGAAATCCAACTCAAGAGCCTGAAGGCCTGACTTGAGGAGACTACGTTAGTACAGACAAGACGTCCAGGGTAGGGTTGGACAGACAGCTGTGCAAACCTGCCTGCTCCACAGCCTGCCTATAGAGCCTGCTAAAGCCACCACGTGCCATGCAATTGACCCCAGCACTGTAAAGGTAATAATGGGGCATGGGGCATTTTTCATTGTCCCCTGTCTCATCTGTCTCCATGCTCTTTCTTTCAGATGTGACCTTACCTCTGGCAGACTTCTGGCCTCTAGGACTGTTCCGTTTCTTCACCAGCATGCTCACTTCTGTGTCTATGCATTCTGCTCCCACCAGCCTGTGCTATCGGAGTGAAAAGCCTGGCTTTGAATCCCAGTACTGAAACACTCTAGCTATATGGCCATAGTCAAATTGTTTAACTTTAATTGGTCTAGATTATTCAAATGTACAGTTAGAATAATAACAGGATCTACCTACCTTTCAGGATCCTTGTACAAAATGTCTGAGATTTAAAAACAAAAAAAAGCTTAGGGTAGTGGTGTGGTAACAAAGTTCCCAGTAAATCCTAACTGGTATTATTATCATCATGCTCATTATTACACTGTGGGAGGTCCCTTCCCTCCTTAATCTCCTGTGCAAAGAGGTGGTTTTAATGACATGTCTTACAGAATGGACTCGAATGAAGAGGTGTCTGTGAAAGCCCAGGCAATGCTATACCTCCATCAGTGTTCCCATCATGGTTAGGACTACTCTAGTCCAGACAGCATTCGAGCTCTGCCAGAGCTCCACCTAATGATCAAGACACAAAGGAAAGCCATGTGTCCTGACTACCATTTCTTCATTCCCAACCCCCACAACACAATTGTGATGCTTCTTGGACCCCTATTGGCCATGGTCCTGGCTTACCCTATCAGCTGGTGACTGACCGCAGAACATAGTCACTTTATCAACTGTAGCTGATGCCATTTTATTTTTGACCTTGGAGCTTATGTTCTTCCTTTTTACCTTCTTGCGGCCTGGTGTCCTATGCCCACAGCTTTCCTTAAGTGCCAGTGTTTCTAAGGCTGTCTACCAGAGGGCATTGACAAAATGGTAGACTTGACTGTGGGCAGAGAAAGAACCCTCCATGCCTCCCCCCACTCCCATGCTTCATGGGATCACACTGGAATGGGCTCAACAGTGCTGTATGGAATTCAATCTGATCTCACCATTCACTGCTGAGGAGGTCATTCAGCCTCAGAGACTGTCTCCAGCTTCCACACAACAAACAACAAAGGATATCAGTGCTGTGACAACTGCATAGGCAGAGCCCATGGCAAAGGAGCCGGCGAAGATCCCTAGGAAATTGCCCACAGACTGGAAGAACGCTGCGGTGTCAAAGGCATTGGGATTCTCCTTGGGACTGTAGATGGATATGGAGCTGGAAAGAGAAGAAGGCAGCTTCAGTCAGTGACAGTCAGAATTGCACACCACCGTCTGGCAGAGGCACACTTTTCCAGTCAGGCTAGGTGCCGGTGAGAGGAACGGATGGGGAAGGAAAGCGGGAAGAGGCGGAAAAAGCAGCTAGCATTCCTTGCCTTCCAGCCCAATCCCACGCCATCCATATACTACTGCCAGTCAGTAAACATTTTTATATTGGGAAGGCTGTAAAGAATATTGTTTCTGAGCAAACTGGGCATTAAAACACGGTAGGTGTATACGGAATCTGCTGAGAAGATAGATAACTGTGAATTATTTAGTGGCCATATGTCTTCAGTGCTGTTATATATTCACAAATGCCCCTGATAAAAAGTGCACTTTTATGGCCTGTGCACAAATGGGCGATACAAATCACAGCATGCACAAAATATTCTTCAGTGAGCCTGTCAGAAGCCACAAAGCATTTCTCTCTCCAGCGTAACCCCGTGGAAAAAGAGCCATGGTGGCATGCAGAACACTGGTACTAACCCCCTGGATAGGCAAAGCCCGCATTCTTCCACAGAAATAGGTGGCAGCAGCCACCCCAGGTCGTTTCTCACATCTAGGTCTTGTGGTACCAGCAGACAGTTCTCCACAGAGAAACGCAACCCCCCATCAGGCAGTGTGTTTGGTTAATTTCTTTGTTTGTTTGTTGTGAGCTGGGGGTCTTACCCTATAGCCCTGCCTGACCCCAACTCATCGAAATCCTCCTGTATCCGCCTCTCAAACGGAACTGTATGTATGAACCATCACGGTTGGCTTACTTAGGTATTTTTGAAGACACTGTATTTGATTTTTTTTTTAATAGAACTTCAAATCCCAGAATGCTGATAAGAAGGCCAAGGTGTGTCCTCTTTTAGGGACTCTGAACTCCTCACAGCAGAACATTAAAATGAGCAGATGTGCTAAACCTGGAAGGTTTGGGGGAGATTAACGAAGTTAGACTTTAGAAATTTTTTTATAGTTTTAATTTTAACACTGAGTCTTTAAAATTAGTCAGGGGAAAAAATAAGAATTTGGCAGTGGATTCTGGAAAGGTCCTTGTAGCTGTGTGGAGAGGACGAGGCACAGCAGACAGGCTGACTGCGATTACACAGATTCCACAGAAAGATGGAACCGAGTCTCTCAGGCCAGGATGGGTAGAGCCCGCTCACTCTCTGCTTTGGCTCTGGAAATTAGTGATGAGGGGCAAGGAATGGATTCTACCTTTCCTACTGGGAGGTTTGAAAGGAAAGGTGGTCATTTTAAATGTTCTTCGGATTTCTGTGGAAACCTTTAAATCCCCAAAGCAGGCCAACCCTTCAACTTTGATCTCTTAATTGGATAAGGAAGATGAATGGTAGAGAAGGCAGCCCAGAAGCGTATGTGAGGGAGGGCTGCCTCTGAGGAACTCCTCCTGTGCTGTTGGCTTTCAGGAAAGCCAACACAGACACAAACACACCTTTGAGCCTTTTGCAATTGCCAATCCCCAGAAAGGTGTTAAACCCAGGGCTGATGAAAACCTAGCACTGGAGCTGGGGAAGTCTGAGTTCACCTTGACATTCACCAGCACAACTCTCCATCCTGTGACCAGAAAAGGAGACTCTTTCCTCTGTTTCAAATAAAAGCCTTTCTTTCCTTCCTTCCTTCCTTCTTTCTTTCTTTCTTTCTTTCTTTCTTTCTTTCTTTCTTTCTTTCTTTCTTTCTTTCTTTCTTTCTTTCTCTTTCTCTCTTTCTTTCCCTTCCTTCCTTCCTTTCTTTTTTCAAATAAAAGTATCTATTTATCTATATTTATTTATTTATTTTGTCTGTTTGTTTACAGTAATAGAGCTTTTTTATAGCTCTAAAGTTCTGAAGGCTGTACCAGTGGGTCTGACCCTTCAAACTGGCATCTCTTCACTCCCACCTCCGTCTCCCTAGAAATGCACAGTGACAACTAGTGACACCTTATGCCATTATTTATGGTCTGCTTTTCCTTAAACCAATTTCACGTTTATCGCTATAAAAGTTTTCATTGAAGAATACATTAAAAAATTTAAGCATGATGTGCTAAATATATTTCTTTATAACAGATGTGAGAAAGCATACATTAACAAAAAATTCCCTGTGTGTGACCTCAACTCATCTTGCTGGCCCCACTGTTTTGAACTACGCTGTTTGGGGAAATGTTGTCCTCTTTATCTGTCCACCAAACATGATGGAGCCTGTATTTGCCCAACTGCATGTGCTTCTCTGTGACAGTTGCCTTACTGGAAGAGAAAGGCATAATAACCGATGGTCCCAGAGAGGTAGTCCATTGAATTTGTTGGTCGAAAGTCTTCCCAGAATATAATCACTGCGTGCGTGCTATGTGCTGGGTGAGGCATTCCATACAGGGTGCTGGAGACAGGCAGGGACACAATTAAATCCAACAAATATCAGCTGGTGCGTGGAAGCCATCTCTAAGCAGAAAACCCTAAGTTATGGACGACAAGCGCACAGCGTTGCCTGTGATGTTGTGAAAGGTATGAAACATTTAACAGTACAGAAGAGGAAACAGTATTTTAGAATAAAGATGTCAAGTCAACGGACAGTGATGGTGAGAGGCTACTGCAGGCAGTGAAGGGAGTATAGAGAAAGGCAGTGAGGCAGGTGAGTTTAGGGCACCTTCCAGGTGTAGCTGCTGCGTGTTCATGCCTGGAACTCAGGGAGAACGCACAGGAATCCATGTGCCGAGGGAGAACTGGGTGACACAGCATTCCGCAGAGGCTGTGGTTCCATGCTCTTAGTTCCATGCTCTATAGAGCGATCACTATAACATTCACTATCTTATGCCTACATTATAATTTTGTTTAACCTTTTATTGTGTGAGATACACGGGGTCAATGTTGTCCTCTCCCGACTGCCTCCTCCCTTCTTTCTAAAATAAAGTAGCTGAAGAAAGAAGAGAATTATATAACTAGCAGGCTCATAATGTGAACTTTTTTTTATTTATTTAAAATTTTATTTTTTTTTCTCTACAGTTTATTCATTATATATCCTGACTGAAGCCTCCTCCCTCCCTCTTCCTATCATCCGCTTCCCCCAATCCACTGAAAGGGGGAGTTCTCCACCATTGCCATCTACCCACAGCTTGTTAAGTTTCATCAGGATGGCTTGGATCATCTTCCTCCATGGCCTGGCAAGACTGCATCATCAGGAGCAAGTGATCAAAGAGCAGTCAACTGAGTTCATGAGAGAGGCAGCCCTTGCTCCCCTCCCTCAAAGATCCACATGGAGACTGAGCCGCCAATAGTCCACATCTGAGCTGGGGGTCTAGGTCCTCTCCATGCATGGTCCTCTGTTGATGCATCAATCTCTGAAGGACCCCCTGGGTTCAGACCTTTTAGTTTTGTTGTTCTCCTTGTGGAGCTCCTATTCCCTCCATGTCCTTCTAATCCCACCCCTCTCTTCCTCCATAAAACTACCTGCACTCTGCCCAAAGCTTGGCCCTGAGTCTCATCATCTGCTTCAATCTTCTGCTGGGTGAATTCTTTCAGAGGACCCTCTTTCGTAGACTCCCACCCCGTTTCCCCTCTTCTACCCCTTCTGGTGTCTATGCTGTATGCCATTCAGAATGATATTTTTTAAAGATATATTTTATTTTTATTAATTACAGTTCATTTACTTTGTATTCTACTTGTAGCTCCCTCCCTCTTCTCTTCCCAATCCCATCCTCTCTCCCTCTTCTTCACTCATGCCTCTCCCCCAGTCCACTGGGGAAGGGTGCAGCCTTACCAGGCCACAGAGGAAGACAATGCAGCCACTCCTGATGAGATCTGATAGACTAGGATCTGAATGAGATTTAAATATCCTCCCTAGGTTCCTCCTTAGTGTTTAGCTTCTTTAGGTCTGTAGATGGTTGTCCTATAATATACAGCTAATATCTGCTTATTAGTAAATTAAAGACTTGTATTAAAAAAACTTTAAGTCTCTGAAGGAAGAAATAGAAGATATCAGAAGATAGAAAGTTCTCCCATGCTCATAGCTCAGGATTAATATAATAAAAATGTCCATCTTACCAAAAGCAATCTACAGATTCAATGCAATTCCCATCAAATTACCAACACAATTCTTTACAGATCTTGAAAGAAAAAATCCCAACTTCATATGGAATAACAAGAAACCCAGAATAGCTAAAACGATCCTCTACAATAAGGACTCTACCGAGCAGTGTATCAAAGCATATGCTGAGACCCGTAACCAAACTTTGGGTAGAGTACAGGGAATTGTATGAAAGAAGGGGGAAATAGGGGCACCTGGAGAGGACAGGAGCTCCACAAGGAGAGCAACAGAACCAAAATATCTGTGATTGATACTACAGCCAAGGACCATTCATGGATATAACCTAGAACCCCTACTCAGATGTAGCCCGTGGCAGCTCAGTATCCAAGTGGGTTCCCTAGTAGGGGTACAGGGGCTGTCTCTAACATGAGCTCAGTGGCTGGCACTTTGGTTACCTCTCCCTGAGGTGGGAGTAGCCTTATCAGGCCACAGAGGAGGACAATGCAGCCAGTCCTGATGAGACCTGATAAGCTAGGGCCAGATGGAAAGGGAGGAGGAACTCCCCTATCAGGGTACTTGGAAAGGGGCATGGGAGGATATGAGGGAGGGAAGATGGGACTGGGAGGGAATGAAGGAGGGGACTACAGCTGGGAGACAAAGTGAATAAAATGTAATTAATATAAAAATAAAAATTTAATATAAAAAAACACTTCTGGAGGTATTTCCATCCCTTATCTCAAGCAGTACTATAGAGCAACAGTAATAAAAACTGCATGGTACTGACATAGAAACAGACCTGGTGGATCAATGGAATCGAATAGAAGACCCATTAATAAACCCACAAACCTATGGACATCTGATTTTTGACAAATATGCCAAAACCATACAATGGAAAAAAGATAGCATCTTCAACAAATGATGCTGGTCTAACTGGAAGTCTACATGTGAAAAAAAATACAA